ACTAAGCAGTGTCCAGGGCTGAGTTGTACCTCTTGTAAACTTCTATGTGGGAGCCCTAATCCCCAGTCCTGAGAATGGGACTGTGTGTGGAGATAAGGTTTTCTAAGAGGTAATTACATTAAAAGGAGGACACTATGGGCCTTAATTCAATGACTGATATCCTTATAAAATGAGAAAATTAGGACATAGGTACTTGCAGAAAGCTCTGCAGAAACAGAGAGGAGCTATCTACAAACAAAACGCAGAGGCCTCTGAAAGAAGTGAGCCTGACCTTGGACTTCAAGCCTCCAGAATTATGAGAAAACAAGTTTCTGTTGTTTAAACTACTGAGACTGTGTTGTGTTGTTTTGAGAGCAGTAGCAAACTAATATACTTAGTTTTCCTAAAACTCACTAGGAAAAGATGCTGTATTTGGAAAACAATTCCATAAAAATAAAATTGGAGTTATCAAACTCTTAAATCAATCCTATTTCCCCCAGACTTCCTGAGAGAAACCATCCTCGACCAAAGCAGTTAGAGAAGGTTTCATCTGGTGCACAGAACAGAAACTGAGTATGTACATTTCTTTTCTGAATTCAGCCCATAGTGGATTCCATTTTTTTATTAGTAAGAGCACAGTTTAATAGGCATTTGCATCAAGGTGCCTATTAATGACTTGAATCATAAATGTCCTCCCAAAGCCCACATGGCAAATCCCAGCCGTGGTACTGCTGGGAGCTGATGGAATCTTACAAAGTGGAGTCGATCAAGGAAGGGAGGTCCTTGGGGGGTGACCTTGACAAGGACACTGAAAATGCTGTGCTCTCCAGTCTCTTTCTTGGTTTCCTAGCTGCCATGAGGTGAGCATACTCTCCACCAACATGCTCTGCTTTGGGTTCAATCCAAAAACAGCCAACTGAACAGGGACAGAAGCCTCTGAACTGTGAGCCCAAGTAATTCTTTCCTCCTTACAGTCGGTTACTCAGACATCTGTCACAGTGACGGGAAGCTGACTGACACAATGACGCAGGGAGCCCACCTCAACCTCTGTGGAAAATACCCACTAAAATGATAAAATAAACATGTGACTGCAAATCACCCTGCGCCCAGACTCCTATGCAGAAAGGTACAGTGCAGCCTAGCCAGCGTGACCTCCAAAGACGCAGCGCCTAAGGGAGGCCCAGACTGGGAAGACCCTTCCTTCAGGTCCTGGCTTCCTGGTGTGTGACCCTGAGCCCAGATTCAGAAACACAGCCGACTTATGTGGCAGCACACGGCATCTGTCACTCATAGGTAAGGCGCGGGTCTTTTTCACATGCATCTTCTTTTTTCTGCGAGTTACATTTATTTACTAAAACCCTAATTCCCTGCATTAGCCTATGTAAGAGCGATTAGAGACTATTTGCATTAACTTCTTTACCCTTTTAGTATTAGCAGTGTTTTTATAAATATTTTATATGCTTCTTTAACCATTTTAAAGCATACAGTTTACTAATCTTAAATATACTCGTATTGTTTAGTTACTCGACAGGACTTTCAACCTTGTAAAAATGAAATTCTATACTCATTAAACAATTTTTCCTTCTGCCCATCTCTGCTCTTTGCAACTACCATTCTACTTACTGTTTTTTTAAATTTGATCACTACAGATAACTCATGGAAGTGAAATATAAAGTATCTGTCTTTGTGACCAACTCATTTCCTGTAGTATAATGTTTTCAAGATTCATTCATGTTACAACATGTGTCAGATTTTCTTTTTCAAGGCTGAATAATATTCCACGGTGTATAGAAACATTTTGTTTAGCCATTCACCTACAATTGCTTATATCTGTTTGGTAGTATGAAAATCCTGCTCTAAACATGTGTGTGCAAATAACCCCATAAGACTCTGTTTTGCACTCTTTTAGATATAAGCAAATGTAGAATTTGCTTAGTTGTGTTCTTTCTACTTTAATTAAAGATATTAGTATTACTTAAATTTATATTTATTTAAAGAGAAAAAAGAAAGGAAATAAAAAAAACAAAGCAGTAAAAGGGTACAAGCAGAATTTCAAGAAAAAAAATATACAGTAAGAAATCACTAGGCAACAGGTCACACACTGTCATCTTAGAAACAGTTGTCCAAATTACAAAATCAAAGCATACAAAGCAGACATCCATACAATGAGATTGCAGACAGTTCTGTTCAATGATCCAACAAAAGCTCAGTAATATGGTTTTCTATCCTATACACTTAAATATACATGCAGTTATATCCTTTAGACCACTTTCTTTTCCTCTCTTTTTTATATTAACAATTACACTTTTGGGGTTTTATTACTCCCACTGTTCTTATTACTTTTTTTGAAGAGAATAAAACCAAATGTGACTAAACAAAACAGAGTCAGTTAGAACAGAAGGACGGGCATAGTACATGATATAAAAATAGATACCGGGTGATCAAAAATGGTTGCCATTCTGCCTCCTTGGTATTTTAAAAAGAGTTGCCTATATCATCAGGTATAATAGAATTGACCAAAACAGTATAGAACAAGACCAATAAAACCTACACTGGAGACCTTACAGGACTTCAAAAGAAGATAATAGTCAAACCATAATGGGCATCATAGTAAATCTTATTGCCTTCAAAGTGGTTGCCTATACCCTCAAACCTGATACTATCAAACAAAATAGAATATAGTAAAATCAGACAGAACAAGATGGGGAGAGCAATACTGGGGTTCAAATCAGGTTAATAGGAAAACAAAAAAGTTACTATAATATATCCCACTATTTTTTAATTTAGTTTTCCCTTAATTAAAAAAAATAATAAAAAATAGATTATTTTTAAAAATGGGGGGAGATTGAGATAAAAGAGGACATTGTAACAGAACAACACAGGTCAGAACCAAACAACTTAAGCATCATTGTGTTTCACTACCAGATAGCCTAACATAATAGTAGTCACCACAGTGCCTCTTTCCTTGAATTATTTGAGTATAACTTTGTATCCTATAGCATCAAGCATATCAAGACAGTGTGAAGCCATTCAAGAGAATGAAAGAATTACAGGGTATTTAGAACCAGCTAACAGAAAACAAACAATAGTTTCTATATTATCTCTTTGCCTATAAAAAATTTTGTTTATACTATCACATATAGTAAAATATACTAAGATACAACATGTTAAAACTAGTGGAAACCGATGTACAATAGCTTGATGGGACTTCAAAACAAGATGTTATTAAATCAGCACTAGCTTTTATGATGTGTTGTTTTCTTCAAAATAGCTATTTGTACTATTACAGATACTAAAATTGAACAACCCAGGTTAAAACCATTCCAATTAATGAGTGAAAACATATGGCTTCAAACCAATATGATTGGGAATCATGGTTACCGCCTACTTTTTATGTATTCTTATCATTTCTTACACTAGGGAAACTATTCAGTATTTATACATGTGAGTTTGATTTATTTCACTTATGAGTATGGTCTCAAGCTGCATTCATTTATTTATAAATATCTCAATGTGATCATTCTTTGTAGCTGCGTAGTACTGCATTGTATAAAAATACCACAATTTTTTTATCCATTCCTCAGTTGATGGACACTTAGGTTGTTTCCAAGATCTGGCTATTACAAATTGTGCTGCTATAAACATGGGTGCACATATATCACTGTGGTATGATGCTTTCAGTTCTTCTGGGAATATTCCTAGAAGTGAAATAGCTGGGTCAAATGGGGCTTCCAGTCCCAGCTTTCTGAGAAATCTCCAGACTGACCTCCACAATGGTTGCACTAGTCTATACTCCCACCAACAGTGCAGTAGAGTTCCTTTTCCCCCACAGCCTCTCCAGCATTTGTTGTTGGTGGTTTTCTTGATCCTGGCCATTCTTTCAGGAGTGAGATGAAATCTCAGTGTGGTTTTAATTTGCATTTCTCTAATAACTAATGATGATGAACACTTTTTCATGTATTTATTTGCCATTTGTATTTCTTCATCTGAAAATTGTTTATTCATCTCAGATGCCCATTTTTGGATTAGGTCTTTGAATTTTGGGGGTCTGATTTTTTTCAATTCTTTATATGTTTTAGACAGAAGTCCTTTGTCTGAGGGGCAGTTGACTAAGATTTTTTTCCCAGTTTGTAGGTTTTCTTTTCACTATGCTGGAGATTTCTTTTGACATGAAGAAACTTTTTAATAAGAGGTGATCCCAGTTATTGATTCTGAGAAGTATTCCCCAGGTGAGGGAGAGAGGTCCGCCAGGCTGGGACGGGGTTCCGCAGCTCTGCCCGACTCACTGTTCCCGGCAGGAAGCTGTGGCTTGGCCCTAAATTTATATTTTTAAAGTTGCTATAAAATGGATAGAGTTGAAAGCCTGACATGTAGGAAAAACTAAATGTTCTCATGGCATAATCGAATAAATGATCACTTATTCAAATTATTAACTGAGGCTAGAAATTTAGCTCAGCAGCATAAGTGCCTGCCTGGCAAGCGCGAGGTCATGAGTTCAATCCCTGGTAACAAAAAAAAATTATTAACTAAAAGTACAGGTAGCATTTTTTATCTTTTTGATGGAGATATAACATATACTTTAAATAAATTAGGAGCTTATTCCAGAAAAAAATGCACCTAGAAAGTTGCATCCAAAAATAAGCACACACTCTCAGAAGATCTGGGGCCCCTGAAGTCTGTCTGTGGGCACCACATCTTAGAGGGTACACACTCTGTGAGGCCAGATATAGGATGGTAAAATTCTTAAGAATGGTATTTATTGGTATTCAGACCCAAAGGCCTATGTCATTTGGATCTATCATGAATATTGAATCCAACATACCTTAAATTCCATTAAAAACTATCACTATTACCATTAGATCTCTAATTCATAAATAATGAAAATGTTGCTTCTCTTTTGTCAGCTACTGAAAACTATGCATTTAACAATCATTAAGGCACAAAGAGATAACAAAAGAAAACATAAGCGAAAATTCAGCTTAAAAATTAGTAAGTATAACAAAGGAGGAGATTTCACTCACAAAATCAGTCTCCAGTTTCCCCATTTCTTGCTTGTAGCTTCTCATTCTGTTGCTGTACATTCCTCGACTTTGAGGTGGTATCTCTCGGACTTCCAAATCCATCTGTTCAAGCTGGAAGGGAGAGAAAAAGCTTTATTTAAACCATGTGCTTATTCTGTATTTGATAAACATTTGGAGCTGAAAGCATTTAGTTCCAAATTCTCATTTTAAAACTGAGGAATCAGGCATCTGTGTTGACTGCCCATGACCAAATAACACTGAAACTACTTTTAAGCTTGACAAGTCATTACTGAGTGCTTGCCACGTGGCACACGCAAGGCCAAGCTGCTTACTCTGTCAAGAATTTCTATTAAACATACACATTACTCCAAACATTTTCAATAGTTTGATTTCAATAACCTTGAAATAGCCCATCGTTTGATCATTCAGTCCAACATTTTCTGGTCTTCTTGCCATGAGTCTCCAGAACAACGGAAAGATAAGCCAAATCATTATTGCTTCTGGCTGACACATGAAATAGCAGTTACTCCAGCCACTCAGTGAAATTTCTTTTAAAAAGTGTTTTCTGATTAGGAAGAATGCATAATGACCAACATGTGCTATCAGCCTCCAGCCTAACTCCTATAACCACTTTGATAAGGAGTTACATGGATACAACAATGTATACATCACACACAACTCACTGAAATCACAGTGAGGCACTCTGCAACGACCTATCATCCTGTAACACATTGGATATAACACAAGAGTGTTTAACAAGTGGCAATGCAGACATACTATAAGAGTTCAGAACACAGGCAGTGTAGACTCCTGGGTTCACATTATGGACTCCACTATTCAATAGCACTGGAAATTGAACAGGATTCTTCTCAACTCTCTGCCTTATGCTCCCCATTTCTAAAAGAGTAATCTTCCTAGGGCAGCTGTGAAGTTAAATGAGGTAATTCTTGTAATATTCTCAGAACAAGTCTCTTACTTCATCACTAGATTAACCTTAACTGTAGTAATGATGGCTACGGATGATGAAGAAGAAACAGAGCAAGCATATGAAGCATATGAAGTCACAGACATAGCTAATTTGTATTTGACATTAAAAATAAAACCCAATAATGACAAATTGGTCCAGGGCCATGTCTTACAAGCACTACATGCAAAAATGTTGCAATGTGATTTTGCTTTCCAAAGCATTCCTATGAGTTATTTTTGTGAATATAAATTTGTCATTAATAAGACTCTTAATGTTCAGAATTAGAGACTGAATATACAATATAGATAAGTCAGAAAATCAGATTTCAATTAATAGCATCAACTTTAAAGGGAAACAAAGTACAACTGTAATTAGCCTTGATTTAAACAGTAATCACTTAAAATTATTGACAGGTCTGTGAAAATCAGTGGAACAGGATAGAGAACACAAAAATAATACAGGCACATTCAGTCATTTGATTTTTAACAAAGGAGCAAAAAACATGCTAGAGGAAGGTCACACTCTTTAACAAAGAGTACTGGGAAAACTGGCTATCCACATGCATAAGACTGAAACAAGACCCATATCTCTCACCACGTACTAAAATACAATCAAAATGAAACAAAGACCTAGATATCAAAGCAGAAACAATCTGCTGGAAGATAAAATTGGCGGGGGCTAGGGATTTAGCTCAGCGGCATAAGAACCTGCCTTGAAAGAAGGTGGTCGTGAGTTTGATCCCCGGTACCGATTTAAAAAAAAAAAAAAAAAGATAAAATTAGCAAAACTCTTGAAGACATAGGCATAGATAAAAGATTTTTTAAGAGAATGAAACCAAACAAAACAGAATAAAGCTAATCAAAACAAAACAGTGAAAGTGATACAGAACTTCAAAACAGGAGAATGGGAAATCAATAATGGCTACTATAACTTGGCCTCTTGTTATCTTCAAAATAGCTGCCCATACCATCAGACTCAAAAAAAAAAAAAAATCAAACAATACACAACTGAATAAAACTAATCAAAACAATGAAAGCAACACCGAAGTTCAAAACAAGAAAACAGGAAATCAACAATGGCTACAATGTATCTTGTTATCTTTGAAACAGCTGCCCATGCCATCAAATATAATAAAATCAAACCAAACCAAACCAAACCAAACCAAACAATGAAAATGATGCAGGACTTTAAAACAAGATAATTGGGAATTAACAATGGCCACTTCCTTCCTTTTTTAGACACTTTTCCCCTTTCACTTTCACAATGCCTATTGTATATTTTGGATCACACTAACACTTTCTGTTTTTTATACTAGAGAGATAACATGATGTTTACCCATGTGAGTCTGAATCATTTCACCCAAGAGTGTGATCACAAGTTGTATCCTTTTACCTACAAGAGCCTAATGACTATCCTTTTCTGTAGCTCAGGAGCTTTCCATTGTATTAAACTACCACATCTTACTTAGCCACTCTGTGGTTGGTGGGCAAGCTACCACTGCTTGTTTCTGGTTCCCTGTCACATGGAGGATTGTTCTCTTCCCTTTGGCTTTCAGTCTATGAACTTCCTTTTGAGTTAATGTGTTTTTTGTATACCACACATTGATGGATCCTGTTTCTTAATCCACTCTCGCCCATGTTTCTTTTATTGGTGAATTAAGGCCGTCTATATTAATGGTTAAGGCCAACATGTACTGGTTCATCTTTTCTATGCTTTTTTCCTGTCGCTGGCTCCCTATTTTTCACAGTAGTCATTTTCATCTCTCTCTCTTGAATATCCTTGAATACTCTCTGTAGGGTTGGTTAGATGGTCAGGAATTCCTTCAGTTGTTCTTTGTCATGGAAGTATCCTATTTCTAGATTAATTCTGAAAGGTAATTTTTCAGGGTATATCAGTTTGGGTTGGATGTTGTTTTCCTTCAGGACTTGAAATACTTCTTGAGTTGAAAGTTTGGGTTGAGAATTCTGTTGTGATTCTGATGGGTTTTCCATGATAGGTGATCTGTTTCTTTTCTCTAAAGGCCTTTAACAGTTTCTCTAACAGTTCTTGTGCTGAATTTCTGGGATCTTGATTATTATATGTCTGGATGTAGACTGACTTTGGTTATGGCTATCTGTAGTTCTGTATGCCTCATTTATCTGTATGTCAGATGCCTTTCCCATGCTTGGGAAGTTCTCTGCTATTATTTCTGTAAATAGTCTATGCTATTTGTGTTGACTCCTGCGTTTTGCTGATATCACTCATATTATTTTTCTTTGCATCCTCTTGCAACCATTGAATTGTTATTTCCTGGTTTCTTGTTATTTTTAAGAGATCTTTCCTTTTGCAACTGCTACCTGCCATTCTGTCTTCAAGGTCTGAAAGTCTATCTTCAGTTTCCTTCAAGCAATTTTGTCAACTTTCGAGTTTTTAATTTCCTAGGTTTCTTTGAGTCTGTTTCATGCATTCTAATTCTTCTCTATATTGCTCAGTCAAGGTTTCCTTCATTCTCTTGTGCTCCTTTTTAAAAAATTTATGTCTTTAGATACTCTCAGAAACCCATTTTTTTTTTATTTAAGGAGAAAAAAGGAAAAAAAGGGTACAAGTTATACAGAATTTCAGGGAAAAAAAAACAGTAGGAAATCACCAGTTAATGGATTACATATTGTCATCTTAGAAATATTTGTTCAAGTTACAAGATCAAAACATATAGACATTCAAACAGTGAGACTGCAAAGAGTTCTGTTCAATGATCCAACAAAACTCAGTAATATCATTGTCTATCCTATACACTTAAATATACATGCAGTTATACCACTTAGAGCACTTACTTTTCCTCTCTTTTGTACAATGACTATTACACTTTTTGGGTTTTATTGCTCCCACAGTTCTTATTACTTTTTGTGGAAGACAGTAAAACCAAATGTGACATAACAGAACAGAGTCGGTTAAATCAAAAGGGTGGACATAATAGATAAAGTAAAAACAGAATAAAAGGTGATCAACAATGGTTACCATAATGCCTCCCGCTATCTCAAATAAAATTGCCTATATCATCAGTTATAATAAAATTGAACAAAACAGTAAAGAATGAAACCAACAAAACCAAAACATTGGAGACATTACAGGTCTTCAAAAGTAGATAATAGTCAACCAGTACAGGCGTCGTAATGAATCCCACTATCTTCACAGCTATTGTCTAAACTTTCGAACCTGGTACTATCAAGCAAAGCAGAATAGAGGAACATCAGTCAAAACAAGGTGGTGAGAGCAATACAGGGCTTCAAATCAAGTTAACAGAATATCAAAGTGGGTTACTATAATATATCCTGCTTTTTTAAAATTTATTTTTCCTTTAATTAAAAGGATAAAAATAAAAAAGTAAATAATAAAATGGAGATTGAGATAAAAGAGGGCATAACAACTAAACAGTGCAGATCAAAACATAACCATTTAAGCAAATTAGTGTTTCACCACAAGATAATCCCGACATAAAAGTAGTTACCATATTGTCTCTTTCCTGGAGATCTTTGAGTATAACTTCATATACTGTAGCATCAAATATATCAAAACAGTGTAAAACCATTCAAGAGAATGACAGTATTACAGGGTATTTAGAATCAACTAACAAATAATGAACTATGGTTTCTGTATAATCTCCTTGTCTATAAAAGTTTTTGTTTATACTATCACATATAATAAAATCCAATAAGATACATGTTAAGACCTATAGAGACAGAAGAACAAAAGCTTGATGGAACTTCAAAATAAGATGACACCAAATCAGCACTACCTATTATGATGACGTTTTCTCCAAAATAGCTGTTCCTATCATCCAGTCTTCTCTGCCTCATTTCTGTTGAGCTCTTTTTCTGTCATTAGTTGTCAGTTTGTCTTCTTCATTTTGTTTTCTGCTCCATTCATTGTGGCCTCTCTGCCACTATTTCTGGATTCTTCGTATTTTTCTTTTTTAGAATATCCTGTAGTATACTCTGCAGAGTTGAATTGGTGGTTGCATATTCCCCTAGTTCCTCTTTATCCTGAAAGCACCTTGTTTTTCCATCAATTTCCAGGGATAGTTGTGCAGGATATCTCAAGCTTGGCTGGAGGTTATTATCTTTCAAAGCTTGAATTATTTCCCCCCACGCTCTTCGTGATTTGATGG